GCTGGAAGTGTTAGGTAAAGGCGATACACTATGTCAACATTAGGGAAGGTTTCTGAGATACCTGCATTTCTTAAATGTTTCAAAGCAGCTGAGGGTGCACATTTTTCAGGTGGAGCTTTAATCTGATTCATATACCCAAAAAATGAACTATTTCTTCAACAAATGTGCCCTGAACATCTGCTGAAAGGTGTTGTTGCAACTTTAATGCAGCTTCTCTCAATTCTGCATCTGGCATAGTAGTAATTTTGAACAGAAATCCAAACTTGTCATTGAGATTCTGGTAGATTTCTTTTCTTTTCACCAATTCTGTAATCAGTGAATCCAGAATGATGAAGTATGTAGCTGTCTTACATTTCTGCCTTGGTAGCAACACAATTTCATTGTCTGGCTCTTCAAAATTGTGTTTCCTCTTCCTTGACCGCTGATGATCAGCCCGGTAACTGTAGTCTTTCACCAGCAGTTTAGCTTTCTCTTCAAACATTTCAAAAGCTTCATCATTGCGAAGTGAGCTTACAAATTCCACTAAGCCTGCATAGAGGTTAGCACAAGTAGCCATTTCAATTTCAATTTTCTGAAGTGTCTTGTTCGTAGCATTTAACCGTTCCAGTATACAGTCCCAAAGCACACAGAGTAAGGCCAATTCAAAATCTTTCAATTTTGATGCTAAGCTGGCTGCTTCGCTTCTTGTAGTTGCTGTCTGGTCTTCATCCTCTGCTATTTGGATAAAAGCAGAACGTATTTCAGCAAAGCTGTCTTTCAAAGCATGTGTTGCATCATGCTGCGCTGACCACCTTTTTGTTGATAATGATTTGATGACATCTCCATGAATGGTTGACTTGAGTATACTCCACCGATGCGTTGAAGCAGAGAAAAAATTAAAGAGTGCTTGTAAAAGTCCAAAAAATGAAACTGCAGTGACACAACACTCCGCAGCACATGACCCAACAAGATTAAGAGAATGTGCTGAGCAGGGCACATATTCAGCAAGTGGGTTGATTTGCTTGATATGGGCTTGCAATCCATTATATTTACCCGACATGTTACTTGCATTGTCGTAGCTCTGGCCACGGCAATCTATAATAGAGAGATCATGTTCAAGCAGAGTATCCAGTTCTACATTCATCATTGTTTCTCCATCATGGCCTGAAAGAGGAATGAATTTTATAAAGCGCTCTACAGGCTTACCACTGGAGTCGACAAAGCGAACAATGAATGTCAGTTGATCTGTATGTGAAATATCTGGTGTTGAATACACACTTATTGCAAAGTATTTTGCAGTTTTATTTTATTTTATTTCATTATTTATTTTTGTTTTGATTAATTTTTAAAAATCAATTTTACTCTCCAAACACTTGAACTTTTTAGGTAGGGACCCCTTTGCACTTGCACCATGTGCGAAGTCTTGGATGAGCCCCTGAACCCCTTGGACCGCGGGGCCCCCAAATGCACGGGGCCCTAGGCAAATGCCTAGTTTGCCTATGCGGTAATCCGGCCCTGAACATAACGATATACAAAATACTGAGAGGAATTGACAAGGTGGACAAAGACAGGATGTTCCAGAGATGGGACACAGCAACAAGGGGACACAGTTGGAAGTTGAAAACACAGATGAATCACAGGGATGTTAGGAAGTATTTCTTCAGCCACAGAGTAGTCAGGAAGCGGAATAGTTTGGGAAGCGATGTAGTGGAGGCAGGATCCATACATAGCTTTAAGCAGAGGTATGATAAAGCTCACAGTTCAGGGAGAGTGACCTAGTAGCGACCAGTGAAGAGGCAGGGCCAGGAGCTTGGACTCGACCCCTGCAACCTCAACTAGGTGAGTACACACACACACACACACACACACACACACACACACACACACACACAAACACACACACACACACACACACACACACACACACACACACACACACACACACACACACACACACACACACACACACCCAGGAGCTAGGACTCGACCCCTGCAACCTAAACTAGAGTACACACACACACACACACACACACACACACACACACACACACACACACACACAACACACACACACACACACACACACACACACACACACAGTCAAGAAATTAAGAGAAAGTGCAAAGGTTTGCAACAAGGCTAGTTCCAGAGTTAAGGGGAATGTCCTATGAAGAAAGGTTAAAGGAATTCGGTCTGACGACACTGGAGGACAGGAGAGTCAGGGGTGACATGATAATGACATACAAAATACTGCATGGAATAGATAAGGTCGACAGAGACAGGATGTTCCAGAGATGGGACACGGAAACAAGGGGTCACAATTGGAAGCTGAAGATTCAGATGAGCCAAAGGGATGTTAAGAAGTATTTCTTCAGCCACAGAGTTGTTAGGAAGTGGAATAGTCTGGCAAGTGATGTAGTGGAGGCAGGAACCATACATAGTTATAGGATGAGGCATGATAAAGCTCATGGAACAGGGAAGACCCAGTAACAGTCAGTGAAGCGGCAGAGCCAGGAGCTGAGTCTCGACCCCTGCAACCACAGTTAGGTGAGTACATACACACTAGTAGCAACCCGTGTAGTGGCGGGGCCAGGAACTATGAATCGACCCCTGCAACCACAATTTGGTGAGTACACACACACACACACACACACACACACACAGAGGGGAGGATGAACCAGCAAGACTGGATCTTATGTTCACTCTGAGTAGCTCAGTTGTCAAGGACATCACATACGGAAGGCCCCTTGGAGCTAGTGACCACATGGTTCTGAGTTTTGAATACATCGTAGATCTACAAGTGGAGAGGGTAACAGGAGTAGAAAGGGAAAAGCCAAACTATAAAAGGGATGACTAACAGGTATGAGGACCTTCCTGCAGGAGGTTCAGTGGGAAAGAGAGTTGGTAGGAAAGTCAGTAAACGAAATAATGGACTATGTAACAACAAAATGCAAGGAAATGTTTGTTTCCAAGGGTAACAGAAATAATGGGAAGACCAGAATGAGCCCTTGGTTTACCCGAAGGTGTAGGGAGGCAAAAACTAAGGGCACTAGAGAATGGAAAAATTACAGAAGGCAAAGGACCCAGGAAAATAAAGAGTTAGTCAACAAGTCAGAAACGGTTAGGAACAGATAAGGAGGGAGGCCCAGTGGCAGTACAAAAACGACAGCATCGAAAGTCAAATCTGACCTGAAACTGCTTTACAGCCACATCAGGAGGAAGACAACAGTCAAGGACCAGGTAATCAGGCTGAGAAAAGAAGGTGGGGAGCTCACAAGAAACGACCAAGAAGTACATGACGAGCTCAGCACGCGATTTCAGGAAGTATTTACAGTGGAGGCAGAAGGAACACTGGAAAGATAAAACAGAGGGGTACACCAACAAGGGATATACCAATAAGTGTTGGATGAAATACACACCACCGACGAGGAGATGAAGAAGCTCCTAAGTGACCTTGATACCTTATCTCAAAGGCTGTGGGACCAGACAACATCTCTCCGTGGGTCCTTAGAGAGGGAGCAGAGACAGTGTGTGTGCCACTAACCACAATCTTCAGCACATCCCTTGAAACTGGGCAACTACCTGAGGTATGGAAGACGGCAAATGTAGTCCCATCTTTAAGAAAGGAGACAGAAACAAAACACTAAACTATAGACCAGTGTCACTGACGTGTATAGTATGCAAAGTCAGGGAGAAGATTATCAGGAGGAGAGTGGTGGAGCACCTGGAATGGAAGGTTATAAACAACAGCCAGTATGGATTTATAGAAGGCAAATCCTGTGTCACAAACCTATTGGAGTTTTATGACAAGGTTACTGAAGTATGACATGAGAGGGAGGGGTGGGTTGATTGCATTTTCTTGGACTGCAAGAAGGCCTTCGACACAGTTCCTCGCAAGAGATTAGTTCAAAAGTTAGAGGATCAGGCACATATAACAGGAAGGACACTGTAGTAGATCAGAGAATACCTAACAGGGAATCAACAACGAGTCATGGTACGTGATGAGGTATCACAGTGGGCACCGGTGACGAGCGGGGTCCCAGGGGTCAGTCCTGGGACCAGTGCTATTCTTGGTATATGTGAATGACATAATGGAAGGGATAGACTCGGAAGTGTCCCAGTTTGCAGATAATGTGAAGTTAATGAGGAGAATTAAATCAGATGCAGATCAGACAGGTCTACAAAGAGACCTGGACAGGCTGGACGTGTGGTCCAGCAGCTGGCTCCTAGAATTTAGCCCTGCCAAATGCAAAGTCATGAAGATCGGGGAAGGGCAAAGAAGACCGCAGACAGAGTATAGACTGGGCAGCCAAAGACTGCAAACCTCACTCAAGGAGAAAGATCTAGGGGTGAGTATAATACCGAGCATGTTGCTGGAAGCACACATTAACCATATAACTGGTGCGGCATATGGGCGCCGGGCAAACCTGAGAATAGCGTTCTGATACCTCAGTCAGCAATCTTTCAAAACTCTATACACTGTGTACGTCAGGCCCATACTGGAGTACGCACCACCAGTTTGGAACCCACACCTGGTCAAGCACGTCAAGAAATTAGAGAAAGTGCAAAGGTTTGCAACAAGGCTGGTTCCAGAGTTAAGGGGACTGTCCTACGAAGAAAGGTTAAGGGAAATTGGTCTGACGACACTGGAGGACAGGAGGGTCTGGGGAGATGTGGTAACAACATACAAAATACTGCATGGAATAGATAAGGTGGACAAAGACAGGATGTTCCAGAGATGGTACACAGAAACAAGGGGTCACAATTGGAAGTTGAAGACTCAAATGAGTCAAAGGGATGTTAGGAAGTATTTCTTCAGCCACAGTAGCAGTCAGTGAAGAGGTGGGGCCAGGAGCTGAGTTTCGACCCCTGTAGCCACAATTAGGTGAGTACAATTATGTGAATACACACACCTACAAATTCACTTGAATACTTTCTTGCCAGTTCTCTTGCTTATTCTCTCACTGTCTCACATGTTTGTTCATTATTAAACTTTGAACTGAATTTATTTTACTCTGCAGGTAAAACTGAACTATGTGAAAAAGTGTTTGTTCCTCCACTGAGACGTGACAAGGGTCTGCTGGAAATAACTGGATCTTTAGGAGGGAAACAAGTCCAGTACAAGAAGGACATATTACTTGTTTATAAAGTTGCAAAGACATTCGTCCAAACTGATAAATTTCTGTATAAGCCTAATCAAGATGTCAGGTTCAGAATACTGACAGTAGTGGGACCCTTCCTCAAGATTTCAACTGATAAGGTAATTTATGCATTAACCCTTAAACGGTCCAAACGTATATATACAGTGGACCCCCGGTTAACGATATTTTTTCATTCCAGAAGTATGTTCAGGTGCCAGTACTGACTGAATTTGTTCCCATAACGAATATTGTGAAGTAGATTAGTCCATTTCAGACCCCCAAACATACACGTACAAACGCACTTACATAAATACACTTACATAATTGGTCGCATTGGGAGGTGATCGTTAAGCGGGGGTCCACTGTACGTTCATGCGCGTAGCGCCCCAAACGTATATATACGTTTTCTTTGTCATTCATTCAACATTGCCACAATAAGCCTGAGTCACCTAGACATGAGAGAATGGGTGTGCGCACTCACTGTGTGCTATATTAAAATAATTGGGGATGCCTGGGAACCATATGCTCTTTTTTTCCTTTTAAAAGAAAGGATTTTTTTTCCTCAAAAAATTTGGGGCGCTACGCGAGTGAACGTATATATACGTTTGGACCGTTTAAGGATTAATAATATTTAAGACAATATTCTGAGCTGTTAACTATGTATTTTATATTAAAAAAATTTGAATGAAATAAATTTCCTATTTAAGAGATAGATTTTAGTATTTAAATGTAATTACTTTATATCAATCTTTCACACAGAGCAACTCATAACAGTTGAGAAAAAAAATTAAGTTTTTCATGTTTTTTTTTCACCAGTATCCATTAATATGGGTAGAGACGCCATCAGGCAGTCGCATTGCTCAGTGGCGGGATGTTAACAATACTGGACTTATTCATCAATCTTTTATACTGTCAGACGAACCTGAAGAGGTAAGCTTACTGCACTTTCTCTAATTTAAGTTGAAACTTGCTCTTGTCACATTAATTTCAGCTCTTTTATTGCAGCACTTGAACCAAAATTGAGATAGTTTATAGAAAAGAGTAATGCAGCTCAGGTCTAATGGCTTATTAGTTTGTGCTTCGCTCACCTAGGTTAAAATGCCATGTTTCTGAACACTATCCTGAAAAATTGATTTGTGCAAAAATAAAATAAAAACAAAAATAACTGTGTGCACTATTCCCGTTGACTCGAGAGTTTTCAACAGTTGTGTATCTAGTATTTGAGGAGAGAGGAAGGTAAACATTTTTTGAGGTTCCTCAAAATACTGAGGGACTAATTACCTCATCTTATGTTCTACTGTCTTCCAATTACATATGTCCTTGAATTTGTACTGATAACACCACTGGATGGTGAAAAATCTACAATAAAGATACCCAGATGCTTCACATGTGTCTAATTCTTCGTCTTGTTGATACTGTGTACCTTACACAATACTCAGGTTGCCGGATAATTAAAGTTAGTTCTGGGAGGCTAACTCGGAACCTGGGGTTGTGGAGGTCCCACCTCTTTCAGTCACTGTAGGAGCATAATTATTCAGACTCTCTAGTATTATCTAGCTAGGGAGTTCCATAGTTTTCAACAACAGATTTCAGGGCTGTAAAGTTTCTGCTTTGCCCCATCCGGTCCTCCCTTCGAGAGCAATCTTATTGTTTAAATGTGCTGATCCTGTCTATGGATCTTTCAGGATCATTATTCAGCTAAACAGGAGTTCTTTTGTGTCAAACACTTTTCAAAGATGCTGAAAGTGTCAGTAAACATTATATGCTAGTTTGCTCCACTCATCTAAAACTCGACTGCCAAACCAGTGCTTGTCTGTCTTTTTGACCAGCTTTAAGAGTGGGTTGGACATGAACATGAGTTTGAGGGGTTGGCTGTGAACAGGACCTGTTGAGGATGGGACAGAAGTTTAATTGCAGTATTACTTTTTCCCACTTTCATATGTACCTTCTTCAATTTAATTAAAGGTCATTTCAAGGACAACATCTCATTCTAATTCTTTTCTTATTAAGTTTTTGCATAGCTTGTGGAATTTTAGGTCAACAGAATGAAAGAAAAATAATTAAAAATTTCACGAAGTTCTATTTTTAAATTTCTGTATTTCTGTTTTATTAATTTCAAATACTATATGGAATCAAATAGTGGAATACTTTTTCAGGGTACATATAAGATCCATGTAAATCCACCTAATGGAGAAGCAGCAGAGGTTCGAACGTTTAAGGTTGAAGAATACGTTTTACCACGCTTTGATGTCACACTGGAGCCTCCTAATTACATCCTGGGAACTGATAAAAAGTTCAAATTCACTGTATGTGCAAGGTAAGTACACGAGAAACTTTGTAAAACTATTTAGAAGTAAAGTAATAAAATAAGATAAATTTGCTAATTAATAGTTTTAACTCTATCAGTTACATGAAGGTAATTTAGGGGATTTAGGGGTAATTCGACTCTGATAATTTGACTCCTGTAATATAACTCCTGGTAAAGTACCTCCTTGTTAATTTCATTCCCCTCAAAAAGAAATAAATTTTAAAAAGACCATTTATTTAAACATAATAAACAATTATGAATATAGAGAAAAAAATTTAAGGAAAAACAGAATCGCCTTTATTTATTTATAAAACCACACGAAGCATGGTTCACATGTGGTCCGTGGCCTGGTAGGCAACGCTTTCTCCTCATACACACAGTGTCTGTGGTTCGATTCCTGGCAAGCGTGGAAACATCGGACGTGTTTCCTTACACCTATTGTCCTTGTTTACTTAGCATGTGTTAGTTGATTGGTGTGGGTCGCATCCTGGGGAACAAGATTGAGAACTAATAGAAATAAGACACAGCCCTTGATGACTGTTGTGATAGAAACACAGGCCTTATCTCTAGGCTTTATTGAACATAGAATCTTCATAGTACTTCTGCAACAACAAAATATAATGACTAGTACATCTAATAATGGCTTCTACAGGGATGGTGATGTCTTGCATATGTCAAGAGAAAAGTTATAACTACAGGCCACATATTTAAACTCACCATGTAATCTGCATCGCTGATAAATGGATAAAGTAGGAGAGAATCACACACCATGTGTTGGTGCCCATGACACACACCAAACTGTTGTTGTTGTTAAGGGCCCCTAGAGGTGGTGCAGTATTATCCTGCTGCTGCTCCCCACAGGACCAGTATCACTACAATGACGTACTGACTTTCTTGAGTTATCCAGGGTGGCTAACCCTCTGGGGTTAAAAATACGAACAAAATCTTATCTTACTTGTGCTTCAAGCCTTTAAGGCTTATTGCCATGTGTTGTATCAGAAAGAATTTATGAAAGCACTGGATCATAAGAAGATTTACTGATGGAGTGGAACATTCTACTTAGTTGGGTCACTGAATAATACTATAATATATTATCTTTATTTACTACAAGTACATGTTAAATGAAACAAAGCTGAAGGGGGTGGGAGAGTTTCAATGGAGAGGAATAAATGGGATTAGGTCAGGGGTTTCAAATAGAGTTAGAGCTAAAGAAGGAGTAGCAATAATGTTGAAGGATAAGCTATGGCAGGAAAAGAGGGACTACAAATGTATAAATTCAAAGATTATGTGGAGTAAAATAAAGATTAGATGTGAAAAGTGGGTTATAGTAAGCATGTATGCACCTGGAGAAGAGAGAAGTGTAGAGGAGAGAGAGAGATTCTGGGAAATGTTGAGTGAATGCGTGGGGAGTTTTGAATCAAGTGTGAGAGTAATGGTGGTTGGGGATTTCAATGCGAAAGTGGGTAAAAATGTTATGGAGGGAGTAGTAGGTAAATTTGGGGTGCCAGGGGTAAATGTAAATGGGAGCCTTTAATTGAGCTATGTGTAGAAAGAAATTTGGTAATAAGTAATACATATTTTATGAAAAAGAGGATAAATAAATATACAAGGTATGATGTAGCACGTAATGAAAGTAGTTTGTTTGATTATGTATTGGTGGATAAAAGGTTGATGGGTAGGTTCCAGGATGTACATGTTTATAGAGGGCAACTGATATATCGATCATTATTTAGTTGTAGCTACAGTTAGAGTAAGAGGTAGATGGGAAAAGAGGAAGGTGGCAACAACAAGTAAGAGGGAGGTGAAAGTGTATAAACTAAGGGAGGAGGAAGTTCGGGCGAGATATAAGCGACTATTGACAGAAAGGTGGGCTAGTGCAAAGATGAGTAGTGGGGGGGTTGAAGAGGATTGGAATAGTTTTAAAAATGCAGTATTAGAATGTGGGGCAGAAGTGTGTGGTTATAGGAGGTGGGGGCAGGAGGAAAGAGGAGTGATTGGTGGAATGATGAAGTAAAGGGTGTAATAAAGAGAAAAAAGGTAGCTTATGAGAGGTTTTTACAAAGCAGAAGTGTTATAAGAAGAGCAGAGTATATGGAGAGTAAAAGAAAGGTGAAGAGAGTGGTGAGAGAGTGCAAAAGGAGAGCAGATGAAAGAGTGGGAGAGGCACTGTCAAGAAATTTTAATGAAAATAAGAAAAAATTTTGGAGCGAGTTAAACAAGTTAAGAAAGCCTAGGGAAAGTATGGATTTGTCCGTTAAAAACAGAGTAGGGGAGTTAGTAGATGGGAAGAGGGAGGTATTAGGTAGATGGCGAGAATATTTTGAGGAACTTTTAAATGTTAGGAAGAAAGGGAGGCGGTAATTTCATGCACTGGCCAGGGAGGTATACCATCTTTTAGGAGTGAAGAAGAACAGAATGTAAGTGTGGGGAGGACTTTAGGGGAAATTAAAGTAAAAATGAAAGGGGGGAAAAGGCACTGGGAAATGTTTGGGGCAGACAGAAAATTTTTAAAAGCAGGGGGGGTATGGGGGTTTTTGGGTTTGGGTTGGACTTTTTTTTTTAATAAATGTATGAAAAAAGGGGAAGGTACCTAGGGATGGCGGAGAGCATGGTATAGTCCCTTTATATAAAGGGAAAGGGGAAAAAAGGGGAAATTGTAAAAATTATAGGGGAAAAAGTTTACGAGTATACCAGGAAAAGTATATGGTAGGGTATAAATTGAAAGAATTAGAGGTAAGACAGAATGTAGGATTGCGGATGAGCAGGGAGGCTTCAAAAGTGGGTGGGGGATGTGTAGATAAAGGTTTTACATTGAAGCATATATGTGAACCATATTTAGATAAAGGTAGGGAAGTTTTTATTGCATTTATGGATTTAAAAAAGGCATAAGATAGAGTGGATAGAGGAGGCATGTGGCAGATGTTCAAGTATATGGAATAGGGTAAGTTACTAAATGCTATAAAGAGCTTTTATGAGGATAGTGGGGCCCTCAGGTTAGGGTATGTAGAAAAAGGGGGAGAATACTTCCCCGGGTAAAAGTAGGTCTTAAACAGGGATGTGTAATGTCACCATGGTTGTTTTAATATATTTTATAGATGGGGTTGTAAAAGAAGTAAATGCAGGGTTTTTCAGGAGAGGGTGGGATTAAATTATGGGGAATCAAATTCAAAATGGGAACTGACACAGTTACTTTTTGCTGGTGATACTGTGCTTATGGGAGATTCTAAAGAAAAATTGCAAAGGTTAGTGGATGAGTTATGAGAATGTGTGTAAAGGTAAAAGTTGAAAGTGAACATAGAAAAGAGTAAGGTGATGAGGGTAACAAATGATTTAGATAAAGAAAAATTGGATATCAAATTGGGGAGGAGGAGTATGGAAGAAGTGAATGTTTTCAGATACTTGGGAGTTGACGTGTCAGCGGATGGTTTTATGAAGGATGAGGTTAATCATAGAATTGATGAGGGAAAAAAGGTGAGTGGTGCGTTGAGGTATATGTGGAGTAAAAAAACCGTTATCTATGGAGGCAAAGAAGGAAGTATGAAAGTATAGAGTACCAACACTCTTATATGGATGTGAAGCTTGGGTGGTAAATGCAGCGGGCGAGGAGACGGTTGGAGGCAGTGGAGATGTCTTGTCTAAGGGCAATGTGTGGTGTAAATATTAGCAAAAAAATTCTGAGTGTGGAAATTAGGAGAAGGTGTGGAGTTAAAAAAAGGGCATTAATCAGAGGCAGAAGAGGGGTTGTTGAGGTGGTTGGTCATTTAGAGAGAATGGATCAAAGTAGAATGACATGGAAAGCATATAAACCCTATAGGGAAAGGAAGGAGGGGTAGGGGTCGTCCTCAAAAGGTTGGAAAGAGGGGTAAAGGAGGTTTTGTGGCAAGGGCTTGGACTTCCAGCAAGCGTGCATGAGCGTGTTAGATAGGAGTGATGGAGACGAATGATACTTGGACCTGAAAGATCTGTTGGAGTGTGAGCAGGGTAATATTTAGTGAAGGGATTCAGAAACCGGTTATTTTCATATAGTCGGACTTGAGTCCTGGAAATGGGAAGTACAATGCTTGCACTTTAAAGGAGGGGGTTTTTGGGGTACTGCAGTTTTGGAGGGATATGTTGTGTATCTTTATACGTATATGCTTCTAAACTGTTGCATTCTGAGCACCTCTGCAAAAACAGTGATAATGTGTGAGTGTGGTGAAAGTGTTGAATGATGATGAAAGTATTTTCTTTTTGGGGATTTTCTTTCTTTTTTGGGTCACCCTGCCTCGGTGGGAGACGGCCGACTTGTTAAAAAAAAAAAAAAAAAAAAAACATGTACAAGGTATACAGGCCTAGCTTACATCAATGACACAGTACTATATAGAAAGCCCCTTGTCATGCTGAGCATTTTGGGCAAATTAGGTCAGCGTCCCAGGATGCGACCCACACCAGTTGGCTAACACCCAGGTACCCATTTTACTGATGGGTGAACATGGACAACTGGTGTAAAGAAACCCACCCAGTGTTTCTACCCTAGCAGGGAATCAAACCCAGACACTTGGTGTGTGAAGCGAGAGCTTTAGCCACAAAGCCACCAGAGCCCCTGGCTAGTTCTCCACTTTCACCTGGCACAGTACTTTCCTTTTTATTATAAACATGTGATGCGAGACCCAGTAGCAAGTAGTCAAGAAGACTTTAGTGGAAAGATGTGTGCTCAGCCTTGAGGACTTATAACAACCTACGAACTGTTGTCTGCAGGATAGTCTTCACAGGTTCAAAGCCCATGCCAGGATGCTATGCTATATATATGTTGTGCCGAATAGGTGAAACTTGCAATTTTGGCTTAAATGTTAACACTCTTCTTCCTGAATAAGGCAAGCAAAAATTTGTGTATGCAATAATTTTGCAAAAAATCATTCTGAACATAATTAAAAAAATATATTTCATTGTGTTTATTATTAAATATATATATAATATATATAACATATATAATATATATAATATATATATAAAATATATATTTTTTTTTT